GCAACACTGCTTTTCAAAGAGTGTAATGTATACCAGTGTTGCCAGGTATTAGACAGTTAGGGCGCCAAAGTCAGAATGGCAAAATTAAATAAAAACGGGTCTCAAGTTTGATAAACGCCATTTTAGTGACAAATTTTAATTAGACACGAGCGAGCTTCCGAGCGAATGTTTAATAAAATGGGTATCTAGAAAAGTTTAAAAATGAGTTGTCTTTTTTTCTGGGATATATATTATTAGGTATAAAAAACAATTTATTTCTAATTAATTTAAATATTTGTATAGAGCGACGTCTATACAAAAATAGCGTACTTCGTGAACCTTTTTTACCGGCTTTCAAAATGGCAGTTAGTTGTCAATTTTTTTTGTAAAAATGGAAATTCATCTCTTGAAATGGACTAACAACAGTTAAAATCCTATGTAGGTATCTATAGAAGCAGTTTTTTACAGTGAAAGTGTGTTATGGGTACTCTACCCGACATTTTTAGTGCTTTATCGGCAACATATAACAAATATCGGCAAATACAAGTGTACCGCCGGCGAAATTAAAAGGTCAGTACAAACGTGCATATAAAACTTGCCTTTTTGCCCCTCTATATCGTTTTGTACTGTCTCTCGTCTACGAGGGACGATTGATAACTTAAAGCTTACTTCGGCCCGTGACTAAAGCGCCATAATGTCACACTAAAACGCCATTAAAGGTGGATTTAGCCAGCATTTAATGTAATGTAACGTAATTTAATTGAAAAGTTAAAACTGTATGGACGCGTTTAGCCAGCATATAATGTAACGTAATGTAAAGTTGGCCAACTTTTCCTTACTGGATTTAACTTTTAACTTCTTAAACTGTTACATGAAAAAGAATCTGCGCTTGCGCAGCCTAATGCCGACCATATTTACAAAAAAATTTGACGAATATTTATAAAGGTTAGTTATCCCTATTGTATATCCTTTTTCTATAAATTTAAATGACCAATAGAATCCAATAAAAAATAAGTAATTGGCTCGGTAATTGGTTTGAATTGGTTTGAAATGTGTTTTGGCGCTATGAAACACCAATTCATTCCAGTTGAATTCCTATTGGTAATTTCCAATGAAGTCAGCGGCTTGAATTGGGAAATACCAATCCATGCCTATGCTTAAGCATAGAAATAGAAATGCACATGGAATGAATTGGTAATTCATAGCGCCAAACCCATTCCAACCAATTAAAACCAATTAATTTTTTTAAATTTGGATTAGAAGTCCCAGTTTATTTTTCATTCAAAAATAATTTTAGATCCCAGAAGGATAACCGGGTAAAAACCAGAATTAATTTTTCACAGAAGAGACAAAAAATTTATTGTTACTGAGTACCTAATTTTATTTCTTTATTATTTTTTTTGTGATATGTTCTTTTTGTTTGTATACATATATGTATTGAATCAATACTATTGATACATAAAACTTACTATCACAAAAAAGTAATAAAATTGTAATAACTTTTTTGTCTTTGTTGCAAAGGATGTTTGTAGGCATGGTCGAAGTCGATATTGTTTATGTCAAAAAATTTTATTTTGTCCGCTAAACATTTTTTTAAGATATAAGTACACTACTATCACTAGGCACTTAACATAGAAATCGACTAATAAAAAAAGCCGCTATTAAATGGCGTCCAAAGACTTGTTTGTGTTGTTTTTTCTTTATGATGGCTTCTCAACCTCGTTGGTTTTGCGCAGCTACACGAGAGCCGTCTTGCGATATTTGTATTGTATTGGGAATAACCAATTAGAAGATTTTTCGAATCTTACACTGGGAATGCCCAATTGAATTCAATTGGAAATTACCTATAGGTAGCTTTATCCAATCGAAACCGCTAAAAAACAGTAGAATCCTAATTGGATTTTTCCATATTTTAAAGTATTAGGAATATCCTATATATTATATCGCGCCCAATTAAATCCAGTAAGTCCAATTCAGACCCATTGATACCATTGGTTTCTACAGGAATTAATCGGTCATTTACAACAGCGAACTACATTATTCAATAACTATATCTTGTTTTATTAAAAAATAGAAAATTATTTAAAATCATTTCACTGTTATAACCCATGCCTACGCATTCAAAAATTTAATGCGTTCGATAATAAAGCGCCTGTTTGTTTATTCAATAGAAAATGCTTCCTAAGCGATATTTGCGTTCCTACATTTCATAAATAATTTTGTTAGTCTTGTGTTGAAAATGGTGCTGCATATACCTTATATACTTTAAAATGTACGGTGCAGAGCAGGACAGGACCGAAACATGGGACCACTGGAATAACCCGTATGGTTTTAACGAAAACAACGTGAACCAAAACAACTTGATTTATGTGCGATGCAATAACAACTTTGCGGTAAGAAATTCATTATATATATACAGGGTGAGTCTTTTAACTTAAAAAAATGTTTAAAATAAAAATTAAATGATTCGAGGGGGGAAATAAATTAGTATCAAAATTATTCCCCAGGCTCTCATCCTTTTTCCAATGGAACACCCTATTTTTTATTGCAGATCATTCGACTAAAAATAGGTAGATTTTGTTTAAAACATTTTTTCATATTTGTAAAAGATGGCGCTGTAATAAAAAAAAATTAATTTCTCCTCTGTATATCTACTATTCTTCAATAATTTTTCAATAAAAATATATCATTGGAAATAATTATCTTATTAAATTAATGATTTTTTTACTCATATTAATCAGTTTACATTTAAAACTCGTGTAATTTTTTTTTATTCTTGATTTTGTTTGTTATTTTTTGTTATCCTCGTGTTAAGACTAAAAAGAGCCCGGCTCCAAGGCGCAATTGGCTACTTTTTTTCCTAGGGTGCAAAAAAAGGAAATAACCTTTAGAAACAACTAAAATAATTTTTTTTAAATTTAGTTTGAAGATTAATTTGCAAACAAAAAGACCTGTTTTTGTTGAGCAGTTATAAAATTAAAATGGTTTTGATTTATTGAGAAGCAGGCTGGAATCTTATAATGCACCGATGAAAATAATGTAATTAATATTGTATTAAGATATAAAATTTAGCAAATTAAAGGAGTTTTTTGAAGAGAGGATATGGATGTGAAAATTTGAAATGGAATAAATAAAAGAAAAGTATTGGAAAGGAATGGAAATTATTAATATAATAAATACCTATACAAAATGTTAAGTGAAAGAGTAGCAAGTATTAGTTATACATCCATATATTAATGCCTAGACAAGCTATTTGGTTAGCTTATTGGAAAATATATACCAGCCGTTCTTTATCAATTCCATATAAAATACACAGCGCCGAGTTCCACCTATAATGTTCTTATAAGAACATGTCTGAGACTGCAGTGTGGTGTTACGTGGCTGTTGTGAAGAATTTTGCGAGACCATCACGGCAGTCAACGTGTTAATAATGAAAAGTTAAAATTTGACGTATCTATATATAGGTAATAGTTAAAAGTTATAACATAATAAAAGTATAATACTTTAAGTATTATATTATATGATGATTAAAAGTTTTGATTTTTTTACACAAACTGTCATAAAATACATCTTTCAACCACCCCGCTTAAAATACCCCATAGAGACCTATACAAAATAATCTATCGGGCGCTACCGGATTCAATATGTGCATTTGTCCATGGTTTTTTCCGGATACGGCCCGATAGAAAATGTATAGGAAACTACCCATAGGCACACAATAACATTTACATTTTCCCTATTAAGACCGATAGAAAATAACTCAATGAAGGATATATGGATATATCCCTATAGAGCAACCATAAAACACTTGACAAAATTTTATTAAAACCTATAGGGTCCTATGGGGTAAAAAGTAATTTCTACATGTACCTATGTGTATTTTCCCCATTGAAACCAATAGCAAATAAATCAAGGGTGGATATCCCTATAGAACAACCATGAATCCCAACTATGGGTCCTATACATACCGATACACCCTATAGAAACACCATACATTCCGATATAAATATCTATCGGTTTGAACAGGGTCTCTATAGAGACCCTGTATATGGGGTGTTTTAAGCAGGGCAGCTGCCCATATACAGTTGTATTCATTAAAAAAGCGTACAAGAATTAGAATGAGAGAAAACTGTCAACATTATTGCGTAAAACCGGCTTTCCACTGACTTAAGTCACTATAACTGACAGTAGAAAATAAAAATGCCTCGTCAGTTAAAACGGCTCAAATAGTATCAAGAATCGAAGAAGAATGGTCAATTCGTACTGTGGTATAATAGAAATAAAAAATCTATATTAAAAATTAAGCAACGCTGGGAACACTAAGATTTACTAAACCAAAAAGTTGGTTCAGGTCGTCCCAAAATGTCCACCTCTGAACAGGATGCTGCTTTTTTGAGATATCTAAGGATTTATGGGAAACTATACTATACTATACCTACTATACTGCTGGGAAGATATTAATCCAAATATTGTATTAAATTTAATTCAGTTCATCCCAAATAGATTGGCTCAAGTAATAGAAAAACAGGGATGCATGACTAAATATTAAATTTTTTTTAATGTTTGTTCTTTTCATTATTAAAAGGTAATAATTTTTGTAATATTATTTAATTAACCTACGACGTCAATGCTCTTTATAACCTATAGTAATTATTTTAATGACTTATGTCAGTGATAAGCCGGTTTTAAGCAATAATATTATTTTGACAGTTTTCTCTCATTCTAATTCTTGTACGCTTTTTTATTGAATACAACTGTACATATAGCGGTTTATCTCCAACACATGAATGACAAGTTTTTTTAAACATTAAAACATTTTAAACGATTGCCTTTTTTAAACCACCCTGTATAATTAAATTTTTAGCATTTATTTTTAAATTTAAAACCATTCTGTCCCAGAGAACCAAGGTTATATTCGATATACCCATGATACTTTGTGCGATACACCTACCTACTCCGCAAATAACAGTTTTAAAAACATATAAAAAAAACTTATGGTTTTTGCTGCATTTTTCATATAGAAAGAGCTTGAGCACAGAAGAGTGGCAACTGCCATGGAAGTGTTTCAGTATAGAGATAACCGTCTTTCCGTGTATTTCCTAATATTTGTAATTTAAAATTTTAACACCTGAATTATAAAAAATTGAGTGAAATTTAATAATGGGAAGTGGAAGAGGTAGAATACCCTTTTGGAATGGTGCAAATAGGCACCCTCAATTTTCAAACTCGATTTCTCCATTTATGCAGGATTATAATTTGTCAGAGGTTAGTAAAATACTATGCAATTACACTTATAGGTATGTCCGGTTGCCAATCTTTAATATAAATTTATTATTTTATGTTATATAAAAGCAAATTAAATTTTTGGTAGCATTTTCTAAATACAAACTACTGCCTACTATGGATAAAATTTTCCACCGAAGCCTTTCTGAAAGCTACTATAGTTTTAGTCGAAATCCTACAGATTTGGCAACACTGTGGTTAAGTGTTGAGAACTTAAGCATGCTTACTTGCAAGTAACTTGGTAAATAAAGTGGCTTACTTGGAACTCTTTCAAAACTTACTGCAATGATTTAAGACACTTGTCTTGGAAATTATCTCCTATTATGATAGACGTGAAGTGAAGTTTCTATATCAAGTGCATGTGGATTTTTTGTGAAAAAATTAAACTGAAAAATAATTTTGTTTGAAATAATATTCGTTGGTGAAATGTAATAATGGGAAGTAGAAGGGGCAAAAGACAATGGATTGGCGAAAATAGACCATTACAATTTACCAACACGATATCTTCCTTTATTCAGGACTTAAACTGGCCAGAGGTTAGTTAAAAATATACAGGGTGCTAAAAATACAAGTGAGGCCGTCCATAAATCTCGTGACGCTGTTGGGGGGGACGATTTGACCCGCCAGAGTAGGGAGGGTTTTTTAAAACGTCACTTGACAAAGTAACATCGTCACATTCTATCACTTTTAGCGTCATGAGATTGAATGATTTGAGGTTATGTTTATGTATTTTTTTGTCTTATTTGTTTTTAAAATTAAATTATGAATCTAATTTTATGTGAACAATGTTTATGTAAGTATATAGGTACCTATCATATCTATAATATAGGTACTTAGGTGTAATTTATTATTTACAATTGTCTTCTTATTCTTCTTTTTATTGTTCTCCTAGTAAATCAATATTTTCATGTTCCATAGGACTTAATATTCCTATGATTTTTGTGCAATCGCGATGGCCAAAAATAACCGATCAAACCGTGCCCAATAAAATGCAAAACAGTTTAGTTAGGCTAGGTAGGTTACCTACCATTCGTAATATTTTGGGAATGTGTGTGCATGATGAAATATTTTTTAAGTTTAAAAAGAAACTGAAAGAAAATGTTCTCCTTTATATTGACATCAATACCTAATTAACTGTTGTATTTAATTTAATTTTTGGCACAATCCTTGAAATAGATTAGGTATTTATTTAAGTTGTTTGTATTTTGTAAATTATATTTAACATATAAAGCCAAAATACTTTCCTATAGTGCTACCGCGTTATTTTTGAGACACCCTATATAAAACCGGTTTTAAAAATTAATATTTAAAATAACCCACATAACCCATATAATTTAGCTTCACAAATTCACTTGTGCATTTCATCTCCTTGAATGATGATGTGCGCATATTTAAAAGTAATAAAGTAGTTGTTTCTTTATAATCTGTGGTAGTTGTCTACAATGTTAAAGTTGAAAACAATATATTCGCATTTACGTCAAGATAAATAGTTCTAAAGAAGTGCTTTTTTTAAATACAAAAATTATTATTGTGTTGCAGCTTTTTAGAAAAATGTATGAAAACAAATATACCCAATATTTTGCTGTATAGTGAAAACTCAATATTTAATATGAAAATATTAAACCAAAATAAAATAGTATACCTAAACAAAACCAGGGGGTATATTTTTGTAATACTAAAACTATTTCGGTAAAAGTTTTAGTGGAAACTCAAATCATGTATAATCATAATTATTATAAACCCAACAATCCAAGAATGTACCGGAATTACTTTTTGGTAAGTGATATTTAATAAAATTAGGTCGAAAAATGTTTGTAGTAAACCGTACTATAATTAGTTTTAATAAAAAATATGTAGGTACCTACCTACTTAGTGAAAATTCTTAGAAATTATTGTTTATGTGCACATATTATGCGCCAATATTTATAAAAAGGAATAATAAATAATATTATAAAAGATCCTTTGCAGAGTAGTTGTTAGAATTAATATTTTAATAATAAATAAAAAATGGCATGAAAGAATATTTCCATTAGATTTCTATGTGCCTTATTGGGTATTTAAGATCACCCGATATTTACCTCATTGGTTCCTGCCTTTGTGATTCGGATTTAAAGAATAAATAAATTTGGTTGAAGAGACTCGAGAACAGTATTGCCAGTGGTTGGAGATATAAAGTACCAAATTCGACTTTTAAAATGTACCAAATTTCCCTAAAATGTACCTTTCATTTAAATGAATAAAAAAAACTTGTTTGGGTTTTCGTTTTTCCCCCAAAAGTAAATATAGCGCGGTATTGCCAACAGACGAATATGAAAATAAAACGAAAAAAGATGGACGATTTTAGTAACGCTATTGTAAAGCCTGATTTATAGATTGCCTTTCTTCCTTCCTCCCGTAGAAGAACAATACAATCCCGTACGGAAATCTATAAACGGCACTACGGTTTTCGTATTGTTCATCTTTTACGGGAGGAAGGAAGGAAGGCAATCTAGAAATCAGGCTTAAGACAGGAAAAGTAAGGAAAACAAAGCAGCAACTGTATTGAAAATGTACCAAAATGGTCCTTAAAGTACTTCTGTACCACCAAAGCACCAAATGTACCAGAAGGGTACAAATGTACCACCTCTGGCAACACTGCTCGAGAATCAGGGTGGAATAGAATAGAATAGTTCGAGGTACGGTAGTTTTCAAATAGTTTCTAAATCGGTCCGCTGCGTATTAAATTCAAAAAAGTTTTTGAGTTTATTAGTTTTGTTCTAAAATTGTGTTGTGCAGATAAAGAATTAAGTTCCCATTTCTACAGGCATACTCTAAAGTTAAGTTATTTTCTTTTTTAAATTGGGGGAAATTCAAGAAAGTAATAAATACAAATTATACCGAATTTAAAAATACAGTTAGCTTATGATATTTTATATTGTATGTTTTTTAATTTTTTAATAACTTTTATTAGGTAGGTACTTGTATTTTTTAATTAATATTTAATATAGTTAGTGGAATAACCTTTGAGTTTTCATTTCGCTATCCAAACATAATAATTAGGGGCTCCAAAAATTGTAATTAAAATGTTTTGCGACTGGTTTATAAACGAGTTTTTCAGAAATACGCGTATTGCGCAACTTTCACCCAGTGCTGCCAACCTAGGGATTTTTCGCGACTGTCGGGAAATCTTGAAACTGTTTTACTTGTGTTTTTAAGTATTTTTTTCTACTCCCACCTTTAAAACGCCCATTATCGTACATGTTTCCATGACACTAAATGACCTTTTAAATACACATTGACAAGTTGTGGCTTTATAGCGATTTAGTCACGGGCTGAAGTTAGCAACAGGTTTTTAGTCACGGGCTGAAGTTAGTTTTAAGTTAGTTGACAGTTATCAAATGTCATACAATCGTTAAAATAAAGTGCCTTGTAAAATAATACTAAATGTAAAAATTATTTTATTATCTCAATACAAAAATACAGATAATTACGTCAAAAATGTTTATTGGGATGGTTATTTTATTTTCGTATAGATGTCGCTTTATACAAATATTTAATTTATATCATATTTTAGATAATATTTTTAGATAAGTATTTTTCGTAGAAAAAGTATAGTATGAAACTCGTTTATAAACTTTTCTATAGAAGTGCCTATAGGCACTTATTAAATTAAGTTCGTGACTAAAATGATGTTTATCAAACTTGATGCATACTATTACCATTTATTTTATATAGAATGGGTAGGAATGTAAATTTAAAAAAAAAATTGTATTTGTGGTTAGTTTTATTTATACCCTTTTGTAAAATTATTTAGCTTATTTCTTACTTATATTATAGCACTTTATACTAAAAGCCGTTTATCTTTAGTTTTCTCTCCTATTTCCTGTTGAGATGATAACAGAAGTACAAACATATGTATGTATATAGATGTACTATTTTAAAGCGTATTTTTCTCTAATTTTTCGACATATACGGCCAAAAAACAGTAAGTTACTCTTTCAATTTTTATTATCAATTTTTTGTTGTTTTTATGTGAATTTGAAATATTTTGGGTTTTCGGGGAAAACTTTTTTATTTTATTTTTATTGAAAACGGTGTGTTTAATAAAAAATGTATGCCACGAAAAATTAAAAAGTAGAAGTGTGTTCAAAAATAGCGTTTTATCTCTGTATACCTAACCCCAAATTTTTATGCTGATTTTTAAACAACTGGTTTGAATTAATCATTTGTTTTGTCTTAAAGCGATAAATAAATGAATATATTTCATAATTCAATCTGTCCCATTCATCACATTCTTATCAATGAATATAAGTAATAAAGATAAGTCACAATTATCTTTAGATCGCGTTCGAAAACTCGCAAGAGTGCACTCTGGATACACTCCAAGTTTACCTTGCGCGTTCGAATTCTCTGGTATACAAGGTGTCCCTAAACTTAGTGGCATAAATTTAGGAGACGAATGAGCAAGTCAAAATAAGACGAAAATCTAAATAAATATTTTTCCCAATTACGTACGTTTTCAAGATACAGGGTGATAAAGTGTTGCTTATCATATCAGTTTTTTTAAAATAACTTCTACTAAGGTCGACTTGGAAGGGTGATATTTTGCGAACAGTCACTTACTACCAAAACGCATATTCACACATAATTATAATTGTTTGAGTGAACACAGTGTCGTAGAAACGGGGGTTGCTTTAAGCTTATTGTCCCATACAAACTTTGAGGTTAGGTTTTTATAACATTTGATGCAATTTTTCGATTACACAGTTCGGCTACCATTAAAAAGGTGTACCTCTCAAGCTTCGATAAAATAAACCGTTTCCGAGATATTCGAGATTACAATAATTGTTATATCGCATTATTTAAAAGGTATATGATAACAAATTTTATTTTTTAATTGAAAAAACTAAAAAAAGCATTCCATGAGTTTTGGGACTTTTTGCCCTGACCATCACATTAAAAAAAATGTAGTTTTGTTCAATTAAAAAAATTATTTTCATATACCTTCTAATCAATTAATGCGATATAACAATTATTGTAATCTTGAATATCTCGGAAACGGTTTATTTTATCGAAGTTTGAGAGGTACACATTTTTAATAGTAGCCATCAAATGGTATAAAAACCTAACCTCAAAGTTTGTATAGGACTATAAGCTTAAGCAACCCCTGTTTCTACAACACTGTGTTCACTCGAACAATTGTAATTATGTGTGAATATGTGTTTTGGTAGTAAGTGACTGTTCGCAAAATATCACCTTTCCAAGTCTACCATAGTAGAAGTTATATTAAAATTTTAAAACTTATATGATAAGTAACACTTTATCACCCTGTATCTTTTAAACGTACGTAATTGGGAAAAATATTTATTTAGATTTTCGTCTTATTTTGACTTGCTCATTCGTCTCCTAAATTTATGCCACTAAGTTTAGGGACACCTTGTATACCTAGATATATGCAACTGTCAGCTCCCAATAAGCACAAACTTCCCAATAATTGCCCAAAAATTGTCCATTTCAAAATGGGCAATTATTGGGCACAGATACTTCCGCATTTACGCAATTATTGACCAATCATATAGAAATCAATGAATGGCCAATAATTGCCCATTTCTGTTAAATTCAATTTGTGATACATCATTGGGCAATAATTGGCCAACTTGGGCTGGTTTTTTTAATTGAAAGGTATATTTAAAATAAAAAAGGATATTTTACATAAAAGTCAATCCATATCAACTGTGACTAATCCTGAATACCTATTTGTAATGTTAAAAAAAACTATACAAAAAAATCAAAACATTTAAACTATGGATATAGGGTTGTCCAGAACTCGTAATGACAATGGAGATGGCAAAACTGCTTTGTTTGATAAATAAAGAGGTTTGAAATTGACCAATCCCAGGGTGGTGTCAAATATACAAAAATGATATATATGGCCAAGCCTTAACATTTTGACAGTGTATTTATTTATTAGTTCACTAGTACTCACAAGCTTTGTCAAAAACGAATAGAAGTTTTACAACTTTTCGTTTGACGAAGCTTTTCAGTTTTATTGACATATGCAATTTTGGTAAAATGTTAAGACTCGTTCACATCATTTTGTATATTTGACTACCACTGGGATTGGTCAATATTAAACCTCTTTCCTGGTGGGGCACGAGTTCTGGACCACCCTGTATAATATATTCACTGTTTAAATGTTTAGATTTTTTTGTAAACAGGGTACCTATCTCAATATTTTAACATTACAAATTTTCATAAATATTTGTGTCACAGTTGACATGACTTGACTCAATACTTTTATTCTCTAATAAATTAATTACAATTATTGCATGGGCATGTACATGAAAAAAAAACAACAAACTTTCTTAAATGGCGGCCCGGCAAGAAGTGATCCCAATCAAACTCGAGATCTATGTTTTGAATTCCTAATTCTTTGTTAGGACTTTTGTGACATCTTTAAATTCGTCTCCTTCTGGAAGGTCAAACCTTTTTCGTCCACCAAGAGAAGCTATAACATAGAAATATTTAGAACTCGATTAAAAAATTTATGTATGTAAATTTACCATAAATTTCATCTTCAAAGGTTGTGTTTTCAAGTCTTACTGCCCCTTCTTTGTTTTCATTATAAATAACTTTTTGGCAGCGTTGCGGCTGGTTTCTAATAATATTAGAATAATACTTACCAATTTTAAATTCTCTATGAAAATTTTCTGTTAACAGACACACACAGGACAAACGCACGTTTCTTTTAACAAATAACCGACGAATATGAGCCACGTCACGTGTACAATTTACTTGCGCATGCGAAATGGATTCATAGACAAGAAACAATAGACAGGGAACAACTATATAGGTCTATAGACCTATAACTGGTTGCAAAAACTGTCTTCAACATCCACAGGATTATTGTTGTCTATAAACAAACCGTGATTTTCGACCTTATATACTAAAACACAACGCGATTTTCGGCCTTATAAACCAAAACAAACCTTAATGTTCGACTTTCAATTTATGATGCGGCCAAGCGAAACACTGGACATTATACGTCTAGTTATGGTAGAAATAAGTCTTATTTCTACAATGCGTCTTTATAGTTCACTTATAATAATTATTACTTTTGAAAAAAATCAGCTGAAACTTGAAACCGGGTAATTGCGGGGTATTTCAATACGAATACGGTACTCTGGTTGATTGTACAATGACTGGGCAATTATTAAATATCTACTAAATTAAAATAAATGTATAGTACCTACTACAAAAATATCCTTAAAATAACCCAAAGAATCATCCTTAGGGATCCCTAGGGATAATTCTTTGGGTGATATTAAAGATATTTCTGTAATATGTAATGTTTGCTATAAATGTAGTTAATATTTAATAATTGCCCAGTCATTGGCCAATCAACCAGAGTACCGTGTTCGTATTGGAGTGTTCAATAATTGCCCGGTTTCACGTCCGGTTAATTGATCAATTATTAACAATTCGAATGGGCTAAAAATTGAGCAATGATTGATCAACGATTGGGACTTCACAATGTGAAGTTCACATACAATTTCAGTTAACTAAATAATGGACCATACAATTATTGCCCAATGATTGACCACTTCTATTGAATCAATGAGATTGGTCAAATATTGAGATCAACGCTGTGCTTACTGGGCTGTTCGAAAACAGGTTCGGTTGTCCAAGCTTTAGACTTGGTTAAGTTTTACCCGTCATGCGCATAGGGTACATCAAACAATAATTTGTATTTTCCTTCATTTTATTAATTTATAACTGTTTAAAATTCAATAAAACAAAAACAAAAAACATTAAAATAAAAGAATTTACCTATTACCTATAATAAATTATTTAAAAATATCAATTCTAAAAAACAAAACAAAATGCATCACAAAAACTTGAATAATCCATATAACTAAAGGGTTGAAATTCAATAATTTAATATTTATATGTATTCAGTCAAATAACAAGCAAAACCAATTGATTTTAGAACACTACAACATAAAGTTTATAGGTATATGCTCCGCGGCGTTCGAAAATAACAAGGAGGTTAGGTATAATGTAAAGTCACGTGATTATATACCTATCCTTATACCATATCCAAAGTACACTCTCATTTCGAACGCACTCTTAAATTCACAAAGTATGCCGCTAGACTTTTGACTTTTTTATGACATTTGGTAAATTGGGAAGAAAAATATTTATTATAATATTGGCCCAATAATTCTTTACAAAATCACGTTTTAAAAGAATTTTTTTTCTGACCAGCCACTTTTTTATCACTTGGGGATAAATCTAGCAATTCAGTGGAAACAAATTCATGCATTTTTGCCATCAAAAGTACTATACGCTAAAGAAGTATCGGGTTTTCGCAAGGCGCGCGCCATCTGGTGGACTTGGAATGCATTGCGTGAATTTAAGAATTGTCAACAATAAATTTAAAGCACCGATTATACATCATTTTTAAATAAATAGGTAGTTTTTTTTACAAAAGACAGGAAGGCAGAAGTCTTACTCGATAAATTTTGTTCAATTGTACAGCTAAATCGCGCACGTTATTTGTGTTTTACGTTGCAAGGAAAAAATTAAAAAACTTTTTCAGTACTCGATTTCGATTGATTATTCCTTATATCATTGATTAAGAAACTCAACGCTTAAATGCTTGTATACTTACGTTAGTGTGAGTATTTTATCAAAGGGATCATGGTGAATTATTGTGTTTTTAATTGTAAATAAAATTCAGGAACTAAATCGTTGCATTTTCATGTAATATAATTTATATTTAAGTTTGGACATTTTTACGTAATTAGTAAAAAATAATGTTTGCACAAAGATAACCTTAAAATCAATCATTTTTATATTTGAGTTCTCTAAAAAACGCCGACAACTGCATTTTAAACAACAAAATATACCTACGAATTCATGGCAACATAATATTATATATAATACATAATATAATGGTATTTTACCGTTTTAACGCTTTTAATAATGCTAAATGCTGTTTAAATTTAGACGACTTATTTGTTTGACGATTTTTACTGAATTGAAATGTTTACTTTTCACGTTAATCATTACTAAAATGTGTATTTATTGTATCTAATAGGTACAATTTATATTTACAGAGGCTGTATGCAATTTATTTCTTCATTCAGATTAACACTGTTTATTGGAAAACCGGTAAAAACTCAACCCAGGATTTCCTCTCGAAATACACCCAACATTTTCCGGCTTTATTCTCAAAAACACTCGTTTGTAACCTAAGCGTTTGACAGCTGATTATTAAAATTTCTACTTTTCTTACGATGATAACAACCGAGTGGTGGTGCTACTAGCGATACTTCCTTAGCGTATTATGCTACTATTCGTTTACTCTCAAAATTTTTTTTGAGTCAAAAATCAAATTGTCAAAAACCATAAATAATTGTTTTTCCTTGTTACAGTCAGGTCAAAATCTATATACAAACAGACAACCTTTCCAACATGTCCCACATATTCCTGGAAATGAAGTAACAATGTGTTCCGATACAGGAAACAATGGGCAATGGTAACTATTTATTTATTATATTAGAGGGTCCCAACAAGTACCTACTTTAGAATACATTTTGGTACACATGGACCTGACTTAAATTTGGTTTTAACACGTGTCGGCCGCCAATATCTTTCATCATCATCATTGTCATATTAACTCTACTAATATTTTTCAGTTAATTAATTAATTAACATTCGGTGCACCTCAACACAGCTATCTGTGTCTGTTACGCCCATAGAACAAAGTTTGTTCTATGCTGTTCAACAAACCTTGAGTCGATGATTGTGCTTTACTGATACAGACAAGGATATCGCTTCCAGCGTTGCCAGATGATCAAAATGAAATTACCGTACCTGCTTGGTAAAAATTACCGTATTTAAGAAAAAATTACCGTACATTTGAAAAATTTAAATAAAATATTTAAAATATAAAAGCAACAAAATTAAAAAATATTTTTTATTGAAAACTTAAAATAAATAAAAGTTAATTTAAAAAAAAACATTTAACAAAACAACTCAAAAATGCAGCCCATAATTTTCTCCAAGAATTTCATTCTAATCCTAGATATATGAGCTGGACTTTTGGAATATGTATACTTATAAAAAAATCATAAATAACAAAAATCACAGGGCAAATGAAACTTAAAATTAATAATAATATTATTATTTGATTAAAAACTCATCATCATTCTCTTATGCAGCTGAACCCGAGATGGCGCTATATTAATTTAAATGCACATACTTCCACTGTGTGGAAGTACATATGTGTTTAAATGTGTAGAAAAACCATAGACAAAAGAAGGAAAGGACAATAGAGGTTTTTCTATAGACAATAAACAAATAGAATAAAAACACCAAAAATAAAAAAATATTGTTAATAATATTATGTATGAAAATATGTCAGTTAGTAAATTTACCGTACATTTGTGTACGGTATTGAGGTTTGTACCGTATACCGTATTTTCATTCAAATTACCGTACAAATACGGTAATTACCGTACGAATGGCAACGCCGATCGCTTCCCCCTTTCCGATACCTTACAGACACGGACGAGCAGTGTTGCCAGATTAGGCGACTTCTCGCAATTTGGGCTACTTTTAAGCGGTTTCATATAGATGCGAAATACGAATATTCGCATTTCGCAACTCCTATTTCATATAGATGCGAACTATTTTAGGGATAGCCATACTTGATTAACATTTTCTATTTGTTGTTTTATGTAAATTGATATTTTGTGTTTTTATTATGGATGAACAATTATTCCAGTGGCAATTATATCATTGTCGACGAAGGCGCTTATTTATTGTTGAAACGAAGACAGAATTAATTAATGCGCATGCGCATCACGACAAATTCGTGCGATTTTCGCAAAATATTGTATCAATCTCAAGATGCCCGCACCCCAGATTTCAAATCTTGCGAATTCACAGGATCTGTCGAAACGTCAAAACGCTTTTCCCGCCAAATCAAATGGACCAATAAAAACATTTTTGGTATTTCGCATTTCGCATCTAAACTGCGCACCACTCAATGAGTCGCGACCAAAAAGTTAGTCCTTTTTTAAAACGACATAACTTTTTTTGTTTTTGAACGATTTTATTTTGGTCTGTGATTTCTGCTAGCCCCATCCTCTGGCTATTTATGCTATAGATATGAAGCTCACCGTTCTTCAAGTAAATTTCGTACAATGTGATATGTAAAACGGTCAAAAATTTCATCCAAGCCCAGTTTATAAAAAAATATTTTTTTTTTCGTTTTTACTTTGAAATAATGAAGTATTATGTCTTACCTTGAAAAGGTTTTCAATTTTTTCGTATTGGAATCTTAGCAAAGAAAATATGATTTTTTTAAAAAAAGAGTACATTTAAGGTTTTTTGGTAGGCAATACACTCAGTCTTTTTAAGAACAAGGAGATAAGATGGTGAAAGATTGTTCCTTGAATAATTCTGAACAAGCGACAAACAACAAACTTCCATTATTTTCAGAGGGGCCTAAGCAAAGACAACTTTTTTAAAATGATATATTGGTGAAAATTTGCGAAAATCAATCCTGAACCGATATTTACGTTCGTGACATGTTTTCCTTATAATTTTGACATCCTGGTTGCGATTCAGTTGTCAAATTTAAGTTTCAGATAAAACCAAAATCACTAAGAATCAAAATTCGAAAACAATTCCCGGCTGTTAAATTGCCTACAAAAAAGCTTTAAATGTACTCTTTTAGAAAAAAAAATCATATTTTCGTTGCTACCATTCCAATTCGAAAAATTTGAAAAACGTTTAATTATTTCAAAGTAAAAACGAGAAACAAATTATTTTTTTACAAACGGGGCTTGGATGAAGTTATTGAAAATTTTCACCGTTTAACGTATCACCCTGTAGGAAATTTACTTGAAGAACCTTGAGCTTCATATCTATATCATGAATTACCAGAGGATGGGGCTAGGAGACATCACAGACCAAAATAAAATCGTTCAAGAAACAAAAAAGTTATGTCGTTTTGAAAAAGAACGAACTTTTTGGTCGCGACACATTGAGTGGTGCGCAGTTTATATGAAACAGCTTTATTACGCCAATTTTTTTGAGGAAGTTGCGGTTAATTCACCGTAACCCCCAAATTTAAATTTGAAAGTTTGATTACAGTCCTGATAGAATAAGGTTTATTTTTTACAAAAGATAAGTAAAATGGTATTTCTTGGCACTTTAAGGCCTCATTTGAGGCTTACAAGTGCCTCTGTAAAAAACACAACGTTTAAAACGAATTTTAATCTTTATAAACAGTACAAACCCAAAGCACAAGAATTGTAAACTACATAAAAATGGCCGCCGTTAGATTCTGTGCAGATTTTTAGTATGCGTGAAACGAGATAGACCTTGTGTGGATTGTGGATCGATCGTCCCTTACTGAAAGGTTTGATACATAGATAAATTCCTAGTTCGATAAAGAAGTGTTCTGTAGTGTCCAAGTAACAAAATGTTAAATTTTAATTCTAGCATTTAGTCTAGTGCTAGTAAGCAATTCCATTTCCTGTGGCAAGGTTGCGACTTTTGTGCGACTTTTTTTATCCTTCTTCTTCTTCCTTGGTGGCCAAAGGCCTTAATGGTCTCGGTTTCAATGTACCACTTTGACCAGAAACAAGTTTTAACGTCTGTGCGTTTCACGAAGCCATCCACCCATAGACACGTGAATTTTCCAATCTTGGAACATCCACTAAATCATTTGTACAAATCACAGAATACCTCGCTAAAAGGTCAAAGCCTGCGATATTGTTCAAAAATACAGGTATATTTCTATACCCGGAATCCAATTTTGTCCATCCTGGGTCAAAGTCAGCTATGTTTCATACTTTTTCATCGAGCGATGGCCCAGAGCTGCGAATGCGATGCACCACACACGAAAGACAAAATCGAACTCCCTTTTTTTATCGGCTGTGCGGCAGGCTGAAAAAAAATCTGGCAACACTGCGGACAAGTTCTTGTGTCGGGCTGTACGTTCTACTATTCTTAAGTTAAGAATTAAAATCAACTTGATCAAGTGTTCATACATATTATTTGTCTCAAGGTTAATTTATTGTTTTTAGAGAGTGGCGGCTCGTCAGGGGAGGCAAGGAAGGCTTTGGCTATTGCTTCAATAATTTTATTTAATTATGTCCCTATTATATATCGACTAAATTGTGAATAATTAGTGAAATTGTAATCAAATTTCCAATCATAATTATTATTACAATGATATATTTTCGTTATAAATGAAAGTACAAGCTAAATTAGCAGCAAGCGCTTTTACTACTATCGTTGAGTGAAAAATCAATGTTCATTCTTTAATCAATGATACTATTGTAACATATTTTATGCAACAATTAATTAATTTCCTGCCTTCCTAGAATTATTTTTCAAAATACTTTTTATTTTATTGAATTAACTTAACTTACGCTAGACAAAATTATAAAAATGCATTTATGCACGATGACATTATAATATGACAATTATAACAAAAATTCTTTGACGTAAACGTCTTTTTATAGACCGCGGGCGTTATTATGACCCAGCGGGCTATAATGAAACGTCAAAAATTAAAAACAATAAGCGCAAAACTATGAGCTTATTTTATTTTAAATTTATATTAACAATACAGTTATTACAATTAGTCATGTTTATGTTGGGTGGTACAATTTGATTTTGGGTACTATTTGAAACCATATAATATTTATGCACGATGACATTATAATATGACAATTATAACAAAAATTCTTTGACGTAAACGTATTTAAAAACAATAATATATTAAAAATAATAATATATTAATCGTGCATAAAGTTTTGTATGCATTGCTGGCATAACTGGTTTTTATGGACCATAAAAACCTTATTATGCCCTTAATACATAAATAACTATTATACAGGTAATAATAACGCACTCCCGCTTTAAAGTGTCAAAAACTGCTTTTTTTTACTTGTGTCACATTTGAAGCGGGTTTCCGATGCAATAGACCTATTCCATAAAACGGACTTTTGGATAGCGCGTGCGTGAAAAGTCACCTTGTCCTTTTTTTAATTATAAAAGAGAAAGAGATACCACTCTTCTTCAGGCACGCGCTATCCAAAAGTCTGTTTTATGGGATAGGTCTATTGTGTTTTACTTTTTATTAATAGTAAGAACTTACGCAAGCTGTAAAAAAATATGTGGTTAGGGTGAAAAGTTACTATAAGTACGTAACAGAAAATTGGGTATACCCAAAATTACCTTTACTTACCGTTTTTTATTTTCATGTCATCCTTTCCCTTGCATGCATTCATCAACTGTGCTGCCAGATCTTTATTTTTTGGAAATCGAATATATTTAATGTTATGTTAGGTTGGGTGTTGGAGCTTCCGTTCATATTTCTGATGTCTGCCACAGCACAGCCCGGCATATTTTAAATAGTTATTAAGTCCAACAAATATAACACAAACTTAATACATAACCAGGTATAAAACACCTGTGCATGGCTTTTAAATTGTTATTGCTGTTCAATAAATG